CCCCTGCCCCCCCCCCCACCCACGGCCCCAATGGCTCCGAACTCCTGCCATGCGGGTGCCAGTATGAAGTATGTAGTTAGGTTTCTCGGTTTTTCCTATGGCCGACCGCCCCAAAGCTCGTTTTTACCGAGGTCTGACTTGAATAGCTCGCCATGCTGGAGATGTGGTGCGTGCAGAAGGGACTGTGGGACAGTGTGAGAAACCCCTCAATATCTCCTAATAATCATAGGTTTTATACTAATTTCCTCAGTAAAACCGAGATTAGGCCAACCACCGGGGCCTGGAGTTGCCCAAGACACTCGGCAAAAGCCGAGCATCGTTGCTGGTGTTTTTCGAAATTCTCTTCGGAGAATTTTCCATTGACAAGGTACATATATCCAACCCCTGCATGCCTATGAAATGAGCCCTAATATCTCGGTTTTTCAGATGTTGAATGTTGATAATGCTCGTGTCGACGGTGCGCGCAAGAGCGGAAAGAAGGAGGCCAAGAGGCCCAAGACCGGCGGGCCCCTTGGTATGAAAACCATTATGTTTCCTCTGGAAAACCGAGCTTTGGTGTTACCGAGGGGGGAAGCTGACAAGGCATAATGAGCAGACAACAGGCCTGCTCGACTACCCCTAGCCATTAGGACCGAGGAGCGTCTCTCATTCACTGTCCTCAAATCGACTGGATCTCTTGCGACGGCGGATCCAAAAAGAACGGCTGACTGACATAGACAGCCACGGCAAATAGACACGATCCTGCTCTGCTCAGACTTGGTATGCTCTGTGCCAGATCCCGGCAACCACGCCAATGATCAGAATGCCCAACATCCGCAGACGACATTCGAACGGGTACCCAGTCCACGAACAGCGTCAGTAACAGTTCCGTCCTCAACCTCGACTCAGATCCTTGTGACACCGGAATCAGCGTCTGGCCGCATCGAGTAGCGGAGATCCTGAATGCATGGGCGGATCTTAACCCTCTCCCCTTAGCTAGCTTTGAGCGAGACTCCTCCGCTGGGTTAGGAGTAAGAGGCCTCTGCCCGCGTTCCTGACCATGAGACAAAACGATAGCAGATTTTGAAAAGCCACAGACAAGAAGCCGTAAGGCCAGTAAAGGAAAGAAGAGGCCCGTTTTTTGAAATTTCTGACTCAGAGGAGGATGACGTTGAGCAAGTTGACTACCCTGAGGACATTGTGCTTTACAACCCCTCACGTCCATAGATCGCAGGCGAGTAGACGCCTTGGCTATGACTGCAGGCCGGACTCCGCGCACTTTTCAATACTGCACCACTGACCAATGCCTTCGGACAGCCGATATCTCAGACTAATCCCTTCACCGTGCGGAACCCCTTTATTGACCCTGTTCCGAATACCTCTCATACAACTGGACGTCTTACCTCTGCTGGACATCCGATACACATTTCCGTCCTTCTCTCGAGGCATACCTGACCAAGAAAAGAAGACGTTTCCACATCGACGAAGGAAAAAAGGACAGTGACATGGAACGAAACGACCGCACATGGATCGAAGTAACCAAACGCTTCATAGATGAAGGCGCCCGTGCAGAAAGGGAGCATCAGAACCTTGTGGACACCTCGCTCGCATACAAAGCCGCGGTTGATAAAAAATTAACAGAATGAGCTCTAGTGACATATTTGATGGGAAGTTAGCCGACCTAGTCGCTCAATTCCTGACTCATGAAGTAGAAGCCTTGAAAGTGACCCTTCAAGGCTGCGGCGGCAATGCCAATGAAGCAATTGCAGAGATTGAGAGCCTGTGTATCACCGTCTCCGACGGATCTAGGACATTATGTGAGGAGGAGGACTGGGCCGCGGAGCGACATACCAGTTGCGATCACAACGGACTGCCCTCACCAGATGAGAAAATATGGCATGCCGATGTTTGATTCAATCGCTGTCTTCTGGAACGGTCTTGGAGTTTGTGAAGTATCCCTTCTATCTCCTTTGAGTCGACGAGGAATTAGAATCTGCAGGAACAGCACGAGGACGTCGACGAGGAAAAGGCCATTTGCGGGTAAATACTAGCTCCAAAGGGATACTTCTCGGTTCGGTTCGTGGCTCTGGTCTGATGTACTTGGTTGAGGTTGGTTAGTGGGAGTACATACTTCTTTTCGAGACTTTGTCTTGCCGAGTATGTGCTGAGAGGCAACGTCTTTTTTCTTGAAGTTTGCGGCTCTCCAAATAATGCTTAAAGTAGGCACTCTCTCCAGAATGAGGATTCGCCATGGATAAGTCTAGAAATCAATAGAGTATTCATTAAGTACTGGCTACTGGTGGTATCCATCCCTTTCATGCCAACCATCGTAAACATAGACATACATACATGCTTGCCACATGTCAGAATCATTATTGTGGCCTTATCCTAAGTGTGAAAAAGAAAAAGAGACATATCCAAGCCATAGCATGCAAAAAGATAACGCCGCACCATTGCCATAACCAAAACCAGTAATGCAATGCAGACAAGTCAAGTATGGTATGAGTGTAACGAAGGAGATGAAAACTGGGTATTCTAGTCATAGAGAATTTTTAACACAAGGAGACAAGTGAGAAAGAAACTACGACAGTAGGGAAGAACCCGAGGCTCTAGTGGGTATTGCCTATTATGTTTTTCTTGGTAGAGTCGAGACCTGCTCGACCGAATGATGAAGAAAGAATGAGATTAGACGCGCGCGTGACGACCGCCCATGTGGTAACCCGCGGCAGAAGCCAAGAATCGGGCGACAAAGCCGGTGCTGCCGCTGTTGCTGGCCATTCTCATCTTCTTGTTGGGTTGCTGGTGGTGACAATGTCGGTGAAAGTCTTCAAAAGACTGCTTTGCGTCTGCCTGGATCGCGGGCATGTTGACATAGCTGTAGCCCAGAGTGGAAGCAGAAGGGCTGTTAGCGTCCGCTACGATGACTTCGTCCATGCTGGTCGAAGAGTAGGAGGTGCTGATGCTGGCTGGAGTGCCGCGCGAGCTGGGGGCAACACTGGATGAACGAGAGCTCAATGAGTTGAAAGTCTCTGCGCGGGAGAGGCAGGGGACATCGTTGATGGATGGCGGAGAGATAGATCGGCCGGACCGGTATGGCGACGTGCGAAGGCGCTGGTGGTGGTGAGGATGGTAGGGAGTGTACCGCTCACCCTCGATGGATTGAGGAGAGCCCCCAAGGCTGGACGAGGAGACGTGGCTGGGAAGGCGCTTGCGAGGCGAGCCGCCCTCTATCATGCTGTGACGAGCGTCTGCACGCGCTTCTAGCTTCTGGCGACGCAGACGGCTGGCAAGGAGCTCTGCCGATGCATGGAGGCGGCGCCATTCGCGGTAGTGATGGTGCTGTTGCTGTTGCTGGCGCCTCAACTCTGCCTCACGCTCCTGGGCCTCGAATCGCTGGCGAATAGGAGCCAGGAAGGGCTCGAGATGTAAAAAAAGGTCGTCTTCGGTGACGCGAGTGTCCCAGTCGAGGAGGAACAGCAGCTGGCGTTCCATCAGGTTCACCTCTGGCAGCGAGAAGGAGAAGCCATCGTAGCCCTTGACAGCCGTGTAGCGGGCCCAGTGCTTGTTCTTTGGGCTCGAGTCGTTCAGGTTCTTTGCTGCCAGGATGAGCGATGCAAGAAAGATCCGATGAACGGTGCAACGCATGCCCTTGGCGACAGGCGGCAAGCGTGCCCGCAGTCGAGCCAGGTAGACCAAAGAGGCCATCAGCGTAGGAACCTGAACCTGGGACCGAGTGACGAGCGAGACGATGAACGTCTCGACTGATGGCAGAGGAGGCAGGCCATCCAGTGGAGGTGTGCTTGGAGGCGTAGGCTGGCCATGACGGCTGACAGCGGAGGTCACATGCGACTCGCAGCGGATGACCAGGGAAGCTTGCTGAGCCAGATAGGCAACCATCTCTCGTGATACTGGACGAGTGACAAACTCATTAAGAGCGGCTCGATTGAGAGCCGCAGGAGCATCCATGATGGTAATGTTGCAGTGTTGTAATTGATGGTGTTTGTGTTGATCTGAGCGACGGAAGTATAGAGAGTATACTCCAAAGCGAACGAGACTGGTGTTTATTATGGGAAAACGTCAACACCCGAAATTGAAGAGAAAAAAGTAGTATCTCGTATTTGTCTTGATTGTGCTCGTTCTCTTTCCGATGGTGAATGGGGCGAGAAGAGCTGAAAGGGAATGTTGACAATGGTCTTTGTTTGGGGGCGAAGTATCTCTCTAGTGGCGAGGGAAAAAAGCAAAGCGTGCGAGAGAGAAAAAAAAAAAAAGACAGAGAGTAAATATGGCGACGAGCTGACACAGGACGGACAGCGATGTTTTAAAAATGAATCAAATTCCCGTCCAGCAGGAATAATGTGGTTCTGGAATGCTGAGAGAGAGGATAAGGTTGTCGTGTCAACCTGTCGGAAGTGCTCTGGAACTGGCGATCTTTGGAGTAGGAAAGCAGCGCTGAGCCTGAAATAGATCTTCAGTGACAAGCTGAGGACGAAACTGTTTAGCAAGTCTAATTTGAAGTTCGTATTGAGCGTCGATCGGGAGTGAGAGATGTCTGGTCTGGTGGTGGAAATGGAGTGAATGTATAGCCCAGGTGAAGTCACACCAAGAGAATGAAATGCAGCGAAAGTGAATAGGGCTGATTATAATGATCAAAAGGAAATCAATTAATGATTACTACTGCAAGAGAAGAGTTAATCAGAAAAAAGAAGATCAGACTGAAAGGAGAAATGGCGAGACTGAGCATGTGGATGACCGCGTGAAGAATCCAGCGAGGTGGCCACCTGATGGTACTTTATAAGGACTCATGAATGTAGCTTCATCATCGTCCACATAGTCTGGATTCTGATTGATCGCCATCACCCATCCATCAATCCGCCGGTATGCTTGCAATTAAGGTGGTGGTGCAGGGCGGCTGGACAGCTGCAAGGACATTTCAGCCAGCAGGAGCATCCACAGGGATAACTGGTAAGGTACTAGGTAACCTGGTAATCATCCTGGGCACGATGGGGAGAAGAGGACAGGAGCGGATCGAATGGAATCGAGGAGCATCTCAAACGCTGAATACCAGTGACTGATTGACCGTCGTTGATTGATTGATCGATGGAGCTGCGATTCTTCAAGGGTCAAGGTTGGATTGTCCCTTTGGCGCGCGATTCGACTGCACGCGATGATTGGTACAAGGCCTATACAGCACAGGAACAAATCAGAATGCATTACTAGTGACATGAAAATTAATTATAGATATTCTACTCAGGTAGTATCTACTAGATACTAATTACTCTTCAATTAATTGTCTTGTACTGTAGTCGAGAAAGCGAGGAGGCATTAATAGATCTACCTGTAGGTACTCCCGTCTACTCCATAATAATGCACCGTGGAAAATCAAGTGGCAGGAGGAATAAAGAGCATCGCCAACGAATCATTACTCCCTTTCAATTTGTCCCTCAAACACTGCCAAAGTTTCAATGACCTTTAGCAAGGCAAATACCCATCTATTCCTCAGCCTCTACGCTGGACTGAAACCTTTCTCTGGGGCGAAACGCGCTCCTGTTCCGGACAGGAATCCTCGCAACGCGTCTGCTTGACTGTCCGCCATGTCTATCCCATTGACTTGCTTGACACTGGCGTTCAGCCTGGAATTCAACTGTTTCTGCTCCTCTCTTGAACGCTCTAGGGGATTCTCCTAGCCTCATCCAGCTGGATTCATGACGGATGTGGGATCCAGAAATAGTTGCAGCTGCCACTCATTCTTTGGCAAAAGTACATGATGCAGTCCGCACTTCACACAGCATCAGATTCAGAGAATGGACTCGACATATGATATCATCAATGCATCCAGATCTTCATTCAACGATCACATCCCACATCTCATGAGGACTCGGACCTTGACTGACAACCCCCTCCTGTCGTAGGCTGTACCCCTCCATCCGTCAGTCATCCCCTGCAAAAACCCCCGACTACACTCGTGTCAAGGAGCAGATCTCCTCCTACGAACCTGGATCAAAGCCATCACGTATTGTTGTAATAATGGATACTAGACGAGCAAGAAAGTACCTCGTTCCTACATTCTCCTCCCCTCGATCGCATCCCCTGATCCTTCCCGCCACAATTATGAGACGCAATGGTGGTCTCGCAAGGAACAAGTGAAAGAGTCCATCTGCTCCTTCAATTCCAGAGCACGAAGACTAGTAATTAGTGGCTCGTCCATGCTACTCTACTGCTACTATTTTCATACGGTACTGCAGATACCTGTAGTTCATGTACGGGGTACCTGACTGAGGAAGTGTCCTAAGCGCCCGACGCAGGGATGCTCGTGGGCGCTTAAGCGCATGTTGCCTCGTCTCGCTTCGCGCGCGGCGTGAGTCGATTTCTATATATACCTATGGATCCTGGTTCAAAAGCATGTCAATCCCTTATTGTGGATACCGTTTATTCTTAGAGGCTATTGAGGTCCCAACATGCGTTGATGGAGTGATTGGGTTGACTTGTAGAGGTGGGGATTCTGGAACCGCTGGCTTGCTGCTCGAGAGCTGAAACTGAGGCACATAGATACTTTAACTTGGGATGATTCAGGTCTGGATTCTTGAGGCCTGACTGCACCTGAAACGAGTGCGTTGGCGCTAGACTGTAGTAGGCGCCTTATGGTGCAGTCGTCTGAAACAGGGAGCGCGTAGTGAAACTTCTATGTTGGATTTTGTATAGGCCCAGTGGATTGATTGCTAAAGAGATTGGACTAATTTGAATATACACCAAAATAGACGGCTGCCTTTAATAGAATGTTTAGGCAACACTGACAGAGTAGTCGGACACGGTCAAGACGGCATTGCTTCCGCTGAAGGGCTCGGTACCGGCCTGCACGTCGACCAGGTACAGGCTGCTGGACAGTCCCTGGTTGCTCTCCAGGTACTTGAAGAAGTCGAGCATGTCACCGGAGAAGCTCTCCGTGGTCGACTGGGCCACGAAGCTGTACACCTGCATCGAGCCGTTCGGGCCCAGGTACAGGTTCCACTTGATGCCAGCGATGGTGGGCGTGGCGATGGGCGAGCCCGTCGAGGAAATGGGACCGGCGCCGCCCAGAGCAGCCAGCCAGACCATGATCTCGTACTCGTCGCTGCCGCTGGCGGACGAGCTGAGGAACATGTCGTACGCGACATCGGCGACGAGGTCGGAGCCGGAGTAGCTGTCATCGTCAGCTTCATAGCCACAGAGATTTTGTAAGAGCTGCCTACCTCCACTTCCAGGTCGAGTCAATGCTACTGATGCTGCTCAGGGTCTTGGGAGTGAACTGGAGAGCGGCATTGGCGAAGCTCTTGACCTGGCCCTGGCCACCGGACCAAGACCACTTGGTGTTCCAGACGATAGTGCTGCCCGAAAGAGATTCAAAGGTGGTGCACTGGGAGCCAGAATCGGCGTTGGCCTCACCCCAGAGGTTGTTGTAGAGGATGTAGTTGCCCTCGGTGACTGAGCCCCATTGGTCGCAGAACTCAGTGGCTGCTTGGGCAGTCGCTGCGGTGAGCGAGAGGGCGAGAGGGAGGCTGAACTTCATTTTGAATAATCAATCAAGTCCTTGCGAGAATAATCTGTCGGTTGACAGAGAACAGACCGATCGACCTGAGGTCTCCGACTCTTATAGTCTCCTGGCCTCCCCTGAAGAATATTTGGCCCTCTATCATTATAGCCTGAATCTTCGAGGCTTAACCTGTTTGATGCCGTGATTATCACCCTCAATATTCACGACTCAATCAGTGGGCCGGATGACCCATTGACTGGTGGATCAATCTATACCCAAGCTTCAACTCGAGACACCCACAGCGGCCGCTCCCCACATATGGCTCTGAAGAATCACGGAATGGTCCATTTTATCCGGACAATTCCCGACGAATGAAACAATCCGAGACGACGAAGGCACGGAACGATCGACCAAAACGACAATTGTCTCCGGGAGCAGTGAGGATATTGGTGGAATTCAAACCGGATCTGAGCGGATGTAGAAAGAAGCATTGTGGATGAGGATATGGCTGCGCGGAAATAGATTGATATACGTAAGTGGACCCCGCATTCTGCACTCCAGATTCCGGAGTATATTGCTCTCTCGTCACAGAGCGATGCTAGCAGCCTAGCGAGGCCAAAGAATCAGTGCTGCAGGATTCAGAAAATCCCTTGATGTTGTGTTTGACCTGTGCTGGTGACAACTGACAACTTGAATTTCTGACGTGGACGGAAATAGGCCCGTTTCATCTAAAGGGAAGATCGACGGTCTGTTGGAAGTTTTTCCTGCAATCCATTCTATTGTCGGGAATTCCTGATGGTGTCGACTCCGGAGTCGAGTCTCCTTAGGAGAAGTTCCGAACTCATAGAGAGCCCCATACAACCGATCGTTTCATCCTATTTGATGTAGAGTAGGTATGGCACTAGGAATAGAGGAATAGTTGAGCGGAATCACACTGGGAATCGCTGAGTAGTCAGAAATTCAGGCAGCCCTTCTCACCATCATCATAGGGGGGTTCAGATTCTGATATCCGAAATGCGTCTATGCAGCTGTAAAGCTACATCTATCGTCATTAGTCCTCTCGAGACTGGGCGTTGCTCAGGTCTTTTCACTCTCTGCTCTGAAGCATTGTCGCATGGGGCAGAGTACTTTCCGTTATCTCAACCATATGAAGATAAAGAGAACGGATATGCTCAGTCAGAGATAGAGATACCTATCCATATGCGCTCTGCTTGATTGCATACGATGACTTGGGTCCTCAACAGGATTGACGAAGAACCACTACGGTTTAAGTTGGAGAGACAACTGGGTTTGCTGACGTAACAGAGCAGTCTCACTCTCATCTCTCAACACTTTGCGCTGACAAATTAATAATGGCAGCTTGGCTTCATGACTGAATAATAATCATGGTCAATCGATTGCAGACTTTGAGACTGACTGGTGATAATCTGATGCCTCTTTCGGATCTCTCCATCCGTCGTGGCCTGAGATGCTCCACGCCAAGCCAAGAAAGAAAACAAACGGAGCCGACACCAGGGGAACTCAGGACCAATTACCAGGGATTCACAGGGATTGGATTTACTTTGTGATCAGCCAAATCTACGCGGCCGCCGCGGACTCCACCATATTTTTTCTGCCTAGACTAATCACTATCATCACTCCTGTTAAGCTTCTTTTTGTCCCCAGATTCTGTCAATTGCCAATTTTAGTCTCTCAATTGACTTGACCTATTGCTCTACATCACGACCATCATGCCCTCCAAATCCTCCTCCCGTCAATCAGATTCTTCCCGCAAGAGTTCATGCGGCTGCTGCTGCTTCTCCATGCGCAAACTCGGTTTCCTTGCGGTCTTCGTGGCTATCTTCGCCGCGCTGTACAACTACCTTGATGCTCGTCTTGAGCAATTCTACATCTTCAACCCCGAACAATTGCACGACCTCTCCCAGCGCGCCGTTCAGGCTCATGGCAACGACACCCGTGCGATGGTCGACTTTATCGTCGCCGAGCTGGACCAGAAAATCCCAGGAATCCACCTGAACAAGGACGAGGAATGGATTTTCAACAATGCTGGTGGTGCCATGGGTGCCATGTACATCATTCATGCTAGTGAGTTTGTTCAATAGGCTCCCAGCTAGCCAATCTTTACCCAAAGTTTCATGCTAATCATGATTTAGGTATCACTGAATACTTGATCATCTTCGGTACATACTCTCTCACGCACTCTCCATTCCCCCTTCCGAGCTATTCTAATGAAGACAGGCACCGCGATTGGCACCGAGGGCCACACCGGCCGCCACACCGCAGATGACTACTTCAACATCCTCCAGGGAACCCAGGTCGCCTACGTCCCCGGAACTTTCGAGCCCGAGATCTACCCCCCTGGCAGCGTGCACCACCTCCGCCGCGGCGAGGTCAAGCAGTACAAGATGGAGCAGTCCTGCTTTGCCCTCGAGTACGCCCGTGGTTGGATCCCTCCCATGCTTTTCTTCGGTTACGCCGATACTTTCACCAGCACCCTTGATTTCCCTACCTTGTGGGCCACGACGAGAGTCACAGGCCGCGAAATGATCATGAACCTGCTGCGGTGGAAATTTTGATCGCGCGATGATTGGGACCATACATAACCAGAGAGATATGGAATAGTGTACTGTAATACGATACTGTACCTGTGATTATAGATTATGGTAATGCCGTATAGATAGGATATAATCTTCATATGACTGCCTCAGTTGCTCCAATTCGTTCGAACTGTTTTCTTTTTTTGTTTTTTTCTTTATCTAGTTAGCTTCTCTCCCGCTGACAAAGCATAATGCAAACGGAACAAACGCTAAGAATCCGCCTATCAAAAGATCTATCAGCCGATCAATAGTTATCGCGGGGCCAGAAATTCTTCCTCTCCATGAGTCGGTCTTTTCCCCTCAAGATCTTCTACCAAGATGCCCCCAACACTGTGTTTTAACTGCAAGGAAGCTAGAGCCGTTATTATCCGTCCCAAGAACCGCCACAAGCTATGCCGCGCCTGCTTTCTCGAAGTCTTCGAGACTGAAGTCCACGAGACAATCGCCGCCTCCTCCCTCTTCTACCCCGGCGAACGGGTCGCCATCGGCGCCAGCGGAGGCAAAGATAGCACGGTTCTTGCCTCAGTCCTCAAAACACTCAACGAGCGCTACAACTACGGCCTAGAATTATGTCTGCTCTCCATCGACGAGGGTATCAAGGGCTATCGCGACGATAGTTTGGAGACGGTCAAGCGCAACGCGGTCCAGTACGATATGCCGCTGGAGATCGTCGGGTATAGCGAGTTGTACGGCTGGACGATGGATCAGGTCGTCGAGCAGGTCGGGAAGAAGGGCAACTGCACCTATTGCGGGGTGTTCCGGCGGCAAGCGTTGGACCGGGGCGCCGCGCGACTGGGTATCAAGCATGTTGTCACGGGACATAACGCGGACGATGTAGCAGAGACAGTAATGATGAATCTACTGCGAGGGGATTTGCCGCGTCTGTCACGGGGGACCAGTATCGTGACGGACTCGGCGGCGTCGGATATTAAGCGCAGCAAACCGCTCAAGTATGCGTACGAGAAGGAAATCGTGCTGTACGCGCACCACAAGAAGCTGGATTATTTCAGCACTGAGTGTATCTACTCGCCTGAAGCGTTCCGAGGCAGTGCCCGGACGCTGATCAAAGATCTCGAGAAAATCCGCCCCAGCTCGATCTTGGATATTGTCAAGAGCGGAGAGGACATGGCTGCTCTGGTGCCGTTGGAGGTTAGTTCGAGCGGGAAGAAGTGTGGCGGCACCGGTACTGCTGCTGCGACTGCGGACGACGATGAATCGGCGGGTGGCTGTGGTAGTCAAAATGGTCGATCAAGCGGTGGCGAAATGGCGGAGATGGAGAAGAAGCTCACACAAGACGAGGCCGCTCAGTCTAGAGAGACCGAGATCAAGCTCCCAGTCGCCCCCAAGAGAAAGAGCGGCAAGGCAAATAACCCAAAAGCAATTAAGAGTCAGACCATGGGCAAGTGCGAGCGCTGCGGATACATCTCGAGCCAGAAGATCTGCAAAGCGTGCATGCTCCTGGACGGGCTGAACAAGAACCGGCCCAAGACGGCGATTGAAGTGGGCGTCGGGATTGAGGACGAAGAAAGCAGCTCTACGCTCATGAGGCAGATGGAGCGAGTCCAGTTGACGACTGGCTAAGCCAAGGGAAGAAGTACTACAATGCCCTACTTGATCAGGTGCTACTCGCTATGCGATGGCGCACCCCTCTCCATCAGGACTCAGGCCCTGAGATCGACCAGTTCACCCCGTCCGCTGGTCAAAGACCGATCGAAATGATCAATAGACCACGCAAGACCCCGCGAGGCTCGTCAGGACACCAGACGCATGCATAGACATGTTTGCACAACGCCACCGCTGCGAACCCGCTCCCAGATTGCACGAGAGATAAAAAGCCAGATCGATGCAATTGAATATATGCCAAACATAATCCTGTACAGGTCATGCCGTAACTCCAGTAATGCTATAATACAATCAGTCTTTCCCCAAAATCCCAGCATACCCTCTCACGCACTTCCTCCCATACATCCGAACCCAACAAATCTCATCGTAGCCGATTCCCACTCCGGGCCCATAATCATCCCATTCCCACCCGGAATCCCCCAGAAACAACCCCTACTCCTTCCCCCCTTCCTGCGCAATCGGCAAATCAAATCCCACCCGTCTAGCCGTCAACCGAATCTTCTCCTTCTCAGTCATCGTCATGCCGGGGTTATACCGCTCCACAAGAGCAGCATACGCCCTCTGCGCACGCGCATACTGCGCCATCTGCTCGGCCTCTTGTACCCGCTGCTCAAAGTGTGGATCTGCCGCTGTTGGAGATTGTTCGCCTTCGCGTGCGCCTGTGCCTGTGCGGAAGGCTTCGCGGATGCGTTGGTGGAGGGGCGTTGGTTTGGAGAGGGTGCGGCGGGGGAGTTCGCGGAGGACGGCGCGGTAGGTGGAGCGGAGGTGTGGCGTCATTTTGTTCTTTTCGCTGTTTTATTCTTTTTTTCTTTTTCTCTTGGATTTTGGGTTTGTATGAGGACGGTGGTCTATGGTTTGTTGAGGTGGAGGAGGGTGATGGACTGGCGATTTAGAGATTGGTCATCGAAGGCGATGTCATCACGTGATCTTATCAGTAGCTTCAGAAATACTACAAAGTATAGAGCACCTTTGATAAAATGAAAAGATGCGCTGAATAAGGCATAACCTCGAATATTATGTCAATTATTTAGCTATGTATGTTGCATATATGTACACCAAGTGGTCACAACCACTTGAACCGTCATTTGACCATCTCATCAGTCAATCGTCAGAAGGCATGTCACGTCAGGGTGGAGGTAGTAGAGGGAGTATAGAAAATATATGGAGAGTGATGCATGAGTCGTGGTTGTAGTAAGAATGTAGGCGCAGCTGGTAGGTCGTATGCAGAGGTAGAAGTCGGTCAATAAAAGTTACCTATCTTCCTGAGGATGTGCTCAAATCCGGTCAAGACCGCAGCCAGCCGAATTTCTTGCGTCCTGTGTCGGCGCCCGTGGATGGTTCAACGTGTACACTGCGTGCGTACAAGTCCTACGCATATTAGCGAACGACCTCACCGTCGGTTGATTGGGCACGAACCTCTTCATCTCCAGAAAGCTTGATTTCCAGAACCAACCGCTGCACGTCCTCATACCGATGCATATGAGCATACGGGGTCTTCTGGCTGCGCTGGATGCCCAGAATGACTTCTCCCATCACCTCGAATTTCTTCCAGTTGATCCGAGAACGGTTGTCTCCGACGAAGGTCTTATTCCCTTCCTCGGCCGACACCAAATCACGGCGATGTAGAGGGAGAAACGGAATGCGCTCCGAAAATGAATTGTCCCAGGCTAGGCGATATGCAAAATGGCTCTTCTGCGTCCCCATGAGGATCACAAGCCTCATGAAGTCCTTCTGTATTTGGACTGGGACCAGCTCCCGCGTCTGACACAGCCGATGTACCGGGGTTCCGTTGATGCCGGCGATCAGTGCGCCCAGGGAGTTGTAGTTATTCAACCGACGCAGTTTCTTCAATTAGAGTTAGAGATTTCCCTTTCCTCGTTCACGATTAATACTCACCTGTGCGATGTTCATAAACTTCTCCAGAGCCCTTGCCCGGTGCTTCGGCTTGTCCCGAAGAAGGATCATACTAGCCACAAAAAACGCGATATGGTTGAATTGCTTGATCATGCGATTGACATGCTTCAAGCTCTGAATCTTATCTTTGTCGGGACCCGAGATACTAACATGGCGTACAAGGTCCCGAGGTCGAAACGAGTTGAACATGATCCAGTCAATTCGTGTTAACTCGCGTGCAAATTCTTCATCGGGTATCTCCATGAATTGCCGCCATTGTATCTTGGTCAGTGGTACACTAGGTGTCAGCTCCAGGTGTTGAGCCTCTCTTTGCGCAGCTTCAATGCTCAAGCTCGTGAACGATTGGCTCGAAATCGTGCCGGGCTTGTCCACGGTCGAAGTACTCGATAAGCCCCTAGTGAGCCTTGTGCTCTGCTCTGGCGGGCCCTCGCTCAGATCTAGAGCACTCATGTTGTAGATGGGATCCTCCTCCTCTTCCTCGCCTTCGTCTTCTACAGGGGTAGGCCCTCCCAGGAACATGGATGGGGAGCTCCGGCCCGAATTGACGTAGAAGGTTTCCTGGTCATCGAATTCCTCCACGTCGCCATCTTTGAATGGCCACCCAACATCGTCATCTTCCGTGTTCACTTCGAGATACGATCCAATTTCTTTGGCGGCAAACATGTAGAAATGACTCTTCTCCAACGTCGATACAAAATCCAGGATCCGCTTCCGGGTCTTTGGATATGCCAGGTCGCCGGAATACTCCGATACCCACTGCGCCATCACGTTGAGCAGTCTCAACTGATCGGCAATGCGGGTCAGCTGGTCAGTGATGTTCTTCTCATTTCGTTCAAAGCGATGTATCAGCGCATTGAGTAGACTGGCGGGTGCCGCAAACTTGCGATATAGGCACAGAAAGATCGACGAGAACTTCGAGTCCTGCTTCGACATCGGCTGCGCCACGAGGCGATCAACTAATTCGTCAAATGTGTAGCCGGAATCAATCGAACTTCCGTCGCTTGTTGATTTGTCCTTGCTACTGCCACCAGGACTGGACGGGGCGCTACGCGACACATCCATTTCATCTTCCATCTCCAAGAAGCCACTGAAGGCGTCCGATCCGCCACTGTTTCGCCAAGCGGAATGGAGCCGATGCTGGCGGTGGCGATCCTTGGCTGGAGATGACTCTCCAGACGCTGATGGTCTGTGCGAGTTCAACGTGGCCCCGGAGGGAGGGGTGTGCGGTCGCACCGGAAACGAGTTGCTCCGGGCATATCTCGAACTGTGCGGATTGGAAGCCAGGTTGGAGGAATCGGTCCGGTCGGCGGGATACCGGTGGTTGCCGTACACATCGACTCCTGATTCAAACACACTCGTGGAGTTTGAGCCGCCCGCGGCTCCGTTGAATAAGGCTGTAGGTGTTTCGGAGTTGGCACGAGTATGGTGACGGTCTTGCGAGCGCGGTCGGTACTGGGAGTCGCCAGAGATTCCTTGGTGGAAGTGGTTGTGGGAAAGATCGGTGAATTCTAAGGGTCACAGTTAGCACCCAAAGTAAGATCTAGCCCGGCAGAGCGCAACAGCTGTGAAATTTAAGTGGGTTTCCGCCAGTAGATAGATAAATGACAGGTCGGTTTCTTTTTCAAAAGGGCAAAAGGGTGAGCGAACGCTAACTCAGGCCGTGCCGCGAATTAGCGCGATAGCAACCGGCCCAAAAGGGGTTGGTTGTCTGTTCGTCCCAAGCTTTATTGCGAAACGCCCAGGAAGCTCCAATCAAAATGGTGGAACAATAGGGGTATAGGGGGGAAGCTTTTGCTGCTTGAGGTGTAGTGATTCTGTTGGGCGTGGAGTCGTAGGGCTAGACGGCCAATGTTGCCATCCGCCTGATTGACACTTACCATATTTTTTGCTGACAACAGATCGCAGAAGCAGGGCAATGCACATCTTCTGCGATCGTGGAGATTCGGGAGACATCCGATGAATCTCGTAATTTCCCAAAGCAGGCTCAAGGGGTCCATCGTGGCTTCGAAAATCACATTTACTCGCAATTAAAAGAAACGGTAAGGATGACGCGGACAAAGTGTCTAATCAAACGAGCCATTAGCGATCATGTACTTTTCTGAAGAAGTATGAATTCCAAGCAGGCGGAAGTACTGCGTGAAACATACCAAGTAAGCCTGTCAATTCTGAGAGGCTCGCAGGTTGCGTCACGTCGTGAAGAACGAGCACTCCGTCAATAACTTTTGGCGAAGTGGCATCGGTGCTAATCCGAGGCCACTCGAGCTCCCCATTGCTTCCGACTGTTATCTCTTTGGTCGAAATCTCCACAAGTCGAACAAGATAAACAGTACCGTCCAATGACATTTTCTTTGTTGTCGATCGGGAGGATAGCGGGTTCTTCATGTCTAGAGCGCTCCGAATAAATGTAGATTTGCCGGCTTTCTCTTGGCCAACAACGGCGATCGTAAGGTGTGGGAAGTTCGGCTTCTGGGGTATCTATAGCGGAAATCAATGGTTAGCCGTTTGCTACAACCTCCGTCGGACCATAATGCCTGCGGATTGAACATACCCCTTCACCGTCACGGGTCGACGATAAACCGGTGTCACTCTTCGAAGAAAGCATATGCTCCTCCTCCTCTATGAGAGGGCTCTCAACCATATTCCTTGTCTCCGTTGCCATTCTGGCGGAATCAAGCTTGTACAGAACTCCGGCCGGTGCGGAAATCGTTCTGCCCGGGAGACCCGGTCTCTGCGGGAAGGGTGCAGGCTGAGCTCTGTCGCTAGATGACCGCTCTCTTCGCGGTTGCTGAAAGGTCATCATAGAGTTGTTTTAAGGCAAACGTTTGGACGATTGCGGCGAGTCGAAGGGGCCAGCGGAGATGTCAACATGCGATAGCGCAAAATCCGATATTGCTAGGTGAGTGACTGATGTAGGCACGACAGGTCATCCATTGTCGCTTCGAATAGAATGGGGTCAAGACTGATTGAGAACCATTGGATTCCTCTGGATAGTTTGAGTCACGCTCTGTTCATCGGCCGGTCTCCTCTGGTTTCCTTTTTCGCTGACGGAGTGTTCGATGTTCGAATACGAATCTCACTGATGAGAGACAGATTTAGTAAAACCCGTCGTATCCTCGGAGGCCTTTGAGAATAAGCTCACAGGAACGCCTTCCAACTTCGAAGAGCGCAATATGGTTGTACTCAATTTGCCCTTGCAGATCCAAAGGCGGTTTGCACTTCCCGCAAAGGCGGAAGAAGGATGGATGGATGTCTGGAACAAAGAGATCAATCACCTTTTTGGTACAAATCTCGGAGGCCGAGGTGGGTTGCCAGGCCCTCAACACATAAAAGATAAATAGGTGAGAAAGTGAGAAATGTCAATAGAACTGAGATGAGGACATGTTGAATCACTTGGTTCTAAAAAATAAAAGCAGGATACGCAGATAGAACTAAGTAAACCGGGTCCAGGTTCCACGATTTTCGCGTGACTGCGGCCGAAAAAGGCGGCGGCGGGATCTTCAATCGGTGGAGGCAGGCAGACAGAAAGCCTCCACTGTGCACATCGCTTCAAGATTGGATAATTGACGGTCAGAGCTTTGATGCTCACAGGAATAAGACAGCAATGAAAAGACCATAGCAAAGAGACGACAGGAAGGCAAGAGAATCTTATGGTTCACAGCTGACGATGGATGGAGGAACCCGGACGAATCGGAGCAATCGTCGTCTACAAGGTGGTACAAGAGGGACACAACACTTGAAGGTGGCTCAATGGCCTTTCCGAATCAGAAAAGGAGCCAGTCGACTACTTTGTACCCAGATGTCCAGATCAGTACACCATTCGTCGTTCAGTCGAGAGCTGTGCACCACTTAGATTCGAGACCAGCTTCTATTCAGCTGTATAGAGTGTCATCGCTACGGTTGATACCCCGCGGCTAGACTGCTATGTCTCTCGAGAGTCGAGAGCAGACTAAGTATCATATCATTCGCTTAAACAAGGGACATCTACTTCCCGACGGCAGCTCATTTAGGGTTAGAAATAGTAAAAGGTGTAAGCTGCCCAGCCCAGGTAGTCTAAATGAGCTAAGTAGTTGGATGAAAGCACGCCGCACATACGCCTTCACCTGCCATTTGTTCCGGGGAATAATAGTACTTTTGACCCTCGCTACTGTTGTAGTGGATGATATATCGACTTAAATCCAAACTAAGAACATGGCTAACAGGCTAACAGCCCAAAAACCACGGATTGGCCCGGATTCTTTTCGCTTACGTCTACAGAGGGCAGACTGCTGCATCGACAGTCTAGTGCTGATTCTTCGCACTTGAAATGTCTTGCCTTGAGGACCGCCTCTCAGTCCTAGAGTGAAGGGTTTTGAGTCACAATCTTACCCCCAATTTTGGGAGGTCGAGTCTTGGACAATAATACTACCAAGGACAAAATTCTCAGCCCATAAACAAAACATCATCATGAGGAGAAGATCTGGAGCAGCGGGATCTGAATTCTCATTCCCCGTCATGCAGCCTGATTCGGGCTCCACTGTGGCCAGGCGTCTTACCGACGTCCTTTAAGCATTATTATTCAATCACCGTTGGGAGCTCGGCTTCATGTGTTCCAAGTCCAACTTTGAGTAACGGGGTCGATAATTATCGCCTCGGGCCTAATTCTCGATTAGCGATAAATCACACGCATTCCCAGAAGCGTACCATGGATTCGTTCGACCGAACGAACACCTCGACTCATCTATGTGATTCCAGCTGTTGGACATCACTTCGATGGTGTCTCGGCCGGTCGGTCCTCTCGAGCTATCACAGCCCCCCGCATTCTGCTATGGTCTAAGACATAGCCTGAATATCGTTGGGAATATTTCACTGGGAACTGACCTTCGAATGGTATTAGGCGGGGAAGATGGAGCAGAAGGAAAGGGAGCAGGATCACCACATCATACTGTCTCTTGTCTTTGTGAGATGTTCTGTATTGCTCGAATGAGAGCGGAATATCTATCTAGAGCTGTTTAACTGGTCTGTGTCTCAGCCGATAACAGAAAGGACTAGAATATAACTACTCAAGCTGAGGGGAGGTTGCTCTCTGTTGCCCACTATCGCTCAACTGTGCCATTGTTTCCCCCCCTGATCACAATAGCTCGTCGAGGAGCAATTCGCTACGCGAATATTCCCATAGTGCAATAATATGGCCGCGCTTGGAAATGCGATCTTCCAAGCTATGTAGCATGAATTTTCTTCCCTCTTCTCGCAGAGAAGGGGGTTCATGCGGGTGGCTGGTGCTGGTTTTCGCTGTTAATCAAAGCCATAAACTTCATAAACCCCTCAGCATGCTTTCCGGTCTCCAATCCTTCTTCGCATCTCTCTCTCAACTTTCTAACCTTGCCCAAACCTCGGTTGAAACCCTTCTCCCGGGTCCAAGAGCCTCGGTTGCGGTAACCTCCTCCTCGTCCGCGATGGTAAGGTCGTGATCGCCCAGCAGGTCCCTGTTCTATCCACTCCTCTTCCAGAGTAATCTTGTAGATATCGCGTAGGCAATCACAAAGCTGAGGATTCTGAGCAAGCAGGTCTTTGATTTGTGGGGAGGACGCTAATGCTTCCACGTTGTATGCATTTCGTTTTGCTTGTGCGTTCGAGCTCTCGTTGGCTTCCGGCTCGCTGGTACCATGCGGCGGGGTTTGAAGGGCATCTGTCGCGCTGGTCGGTTCCGGCGCCTGGGGTTTGGGTGCACAGTAAATCTTATGGGACTGAGTGCAGGCAAGCGAGCAACTGTAGACCATGGGTGAGAACGAGGGCGGCCACACTAAGGTAATGGAAGAAATCTTACCTCAAAAGCCCACAGGTAGGGCATTTGTACTTCGAGGGTTCGGAAACGCAAACCTCGCAAGTTCCAGGCATTTTTTTGCCAGCTTGAGACTCCGAGCCAGCTGAGCTGCGATCAAACTTCGTCAAGCATGATTTGTAGCTTTTACAGCTACAGTCAGATGGCAGAAGACAAACAAAGAAATACTCTTAAGCCAGGGCAAACGCATTAACAAGCTAAAACAATCCAGTGAAAGCTAGATGGAAAGCTCATTCAAGAACACCTTCAGAGTCTAGGCCATCTCCGCAGAATCAAAAATCGTAGATGCCTCAGGATTCAGGAACCACTGGTTGAAATGCAGATCACATGATTTATCGCCCCTAATGACGATAATGGGCTCAAATCTAGTTCCATTATTCTGCTTGATAATTGCAAATGGTAGAGAAGTAAATGCTCATCTTTAAAGGTTATCAGCAGAGATAGAAGTCTGTGATTCTCAACGAGCTTAGTCGTGGACTCATTTGCGTGCCATCTCCACGATCACGCTTGTATACAGAGTGACAATAATAGACGGTGCTCCATTCACATCAACTGGATGCAACACTTATCAACGACGCAAAGCAAAGGTACAGCTTGGATTAACGATTAGAGATGTATATCAACTAATATAACTTTCACAGTGGGACACATTGAAGCCAGAATACCCTCGTTGTATCAATAATGGTCATGTCTGCACTGTCTATGAAAGGATGAAGGTATCCAACCACAGATCTATCGACTCGATGGGCGAAAATGAAGAAAATTCGCCCATCAACTGAAAGCAACTGCACACAGCACGAACAAGGCTCATCAGTTGATACAGACTGAATGGGACATGCCTTGCTTGAGTGTCCATCTAAGCTGAGATCAGAGCCAACTGCTCACCTCCTTCATAGACTGGTACCTGCCTTTATCACATTATTCGCAAGATGGGACTAGGATGAATTCCCCCGAAACACTGCCGGACATCGCTAGGACTAGTCCATTGCTCGACAAATCCATTGTTTCACTTCCAACGGGTTACCTTACAAAGCAGAAGAAGGGCGATTACTTACTGCGGTACAGCATCGATCTTTATGGCAATGCCATGAAGCATCCCTTTAGGAAGATCAAGTCAGGCAATGATTTTGGCAAGGACCCTGATGTGTACCACTGTTTTGTTTCAATAATACGAAGTGAGCTTACCGATCAATCAAGATCCAACGTACGACACGGTTTAGCGAGGCAAAGTTGATCAGTTCCTCGCCGCCTGGCTTCATCGTATGGATAGCTCATTTCCAATCTAGTAATACAATAGCCAACTTAATCAGTACGCAGTCGTAAAGAAGAGACCATTGTGGAGAGGCTCTTTCGCCGCCAGTAAATTATGTTACTGTCAGTTTCTCAGCTTCGACAATCAGCTTGATTTTAAGCTGCGGTTGCAGCTGCTAACCCTGAACGCACCACTTATGTGACGCGAGTGGGAAATACAAAGCAGCAAGCTTCTACAACTCTAGACTTTGGCATAATGGCTCATCGCGAGGTAATGCCACGCCTGAACCTGCTTTACTACCTACAACGAACCAGTAGTTTCTTCAGAATTTCCAGTCACTAGTCCGGCCATCACAATCAGGACTCCACCATTCACTTCCCTCTGTAGGATCACCAGGCGCCACGGAACCAGTTCCTTGATACTCCAAGTTGCATTCGGCTTTAAGAAACCCTGTTATAACTATTACAGGACAGTCAACCAGACTTATTGTTCCGTCAGTCAAGCAGCACATCTTGCCCGAGCCTCTGTCCCAGAAGAAGTACTTGACCCAGGAGTTTGAGGACAGTACCCCAGATCTTGAAGTTCCCTATTTTGAGATTAGAGATTCCCGGCTTGAGCAATAGACCTCGGCTGATGGCTATGGGCTAACCTGTGAGCTTTCTCGAAGGCGCTCCTCACCTGATCACGGTCAGGACTCGGAAGGCTCCAGAACGTGTCAGCTCCAAGTTCGTCACCTAAGCGGATACCGGACGGCTTATTCCAGACAATATATGTTATATGGCCCCGTGGCACCCAACCCTGGGGACCCTGTCTGCCCTCTTTGTAGAGTAAGGTCGGAGTAGCAGTCGCGCCCTTCTGACTAAAGATGTTCAGTGCAGTGACTTCTCCATGAGTTGCGATGTTGATTGTGCGGCTCTATCTTCTGGCGGCTCAGACCCATACCCTTGATGAGGTATTTGCATGTGAATCCTTGTAAATGCTTGCTGAGCTAGGTTATCTGCATTATGGCAAAGGAATACCGCCTGGCAGGAGAGGTACCCAGGCCAATCTTTGCATCCACTTCAGACCTGGTCGGAATTTTCAGAAGGTTTCTGGTCCAGAATTCATTTTGACTGGCTTAGAAGGCCAAGCTCAACTTCTGTGCTCGGCTGAACTGGACGCCTGCTAAAGAACGTTCTCTGTTGAGCCATTTGTGTTCAGCAAAGATGAAGAGTATAGGGTCTATTCAATAGTAAAACTCTCAAGGTTGGAGAAAATGATTATGTCCGGTCAAACATGGCGGTATGCCTCATTTCGGGGTAATGCGTTGCTTGTTCGGTTCACATGACTTTTGATTGAGACAGTCCCATGTAGATGCCATGAAGGAGTCCCTGCAGGGCAAGACTCCGGATGAACATTACCTCCCAGTGAAAAGAAAGTTAGATTCCAAGGCACTCGATGATTTTTCCAGGTCATCTCGGATCTGTCCTAAAACGTCGGGATCATCCTTCGCACTAGGCATTCAATAGCACAATAGCGTACGATTCAGAGTCCATTTATTGCGCAGAGAACAGCAAACTGAACTATATTCTTTTGTGCAAATGCCATTTTCCGCATGGAGCGTTTGTGATGCGAAATATCGAAGACTGGTAGTTTGGCCAAACCATGAGTTCCAGGAACAATTCTAAGTAAGCCCAACTTGAGTCAAGCGCATAAATACTCTTCGACACCATTCGTATCTTTGGGACGATCACGAAGACAGAAACAATTTTGTGCTCAGACTGAGAGGACCCAGAAGCATCTGGGGGCCTAAGGTCTTCATGTCTGGCTGTATGTAATAGGTCACTGAGAGGCAGATTTTATCTGCATAGAGCTCGGCAAGCGTCCTGAATAGAGGCAATGGTTGCTTCGACATGGTCTGTAAGAATGGGTAAGGGCCTCAGGGCTCGAGTGTCTTGAACCTCGCCAGAGGTATGAAGGACCTGTTTCTAATGATGGATGTCGAATTGCTTCTATCCTATTGGGCTGTAACGTAATCCACAAGCGAGCGGGCCACCCAAGCGAGCGGGCCACCTCACGCGTTTCAGACGCGGTCACAATACTCAACCAATTCAAACCACCACCATGTCTCCAAAACAACATCAAAAATCAAAA